GATTAAAAGGAGCCTCAAGAGTCCCATAGAGCTGATATCTAGTTCTTTCTCCACTAATTCACTTATGGGCATGTTAAAATTTCCCCCACTGTGGCAGATTTGGGTCAACAATACGTCCCCAGCACCTAGCACAATTGCTGATAGTAAGCCGTTGGTAAATATTTGTTGAATGAATGAATTTAACAGATAGGAAAACTAAGTGCTGCTCTGAATTACTGAAAATCATGAAAGTTTTATTTCACATTGTATTGAAATAATTTTGTTTATTATTATCTAGGATGAATAGGGAAAATACCTTTTCCTTGAAAATAAAACCCTTACAACTTATAGTTGAAATTTTTTTTTAAAGTACCTACATGCTGATTCCTAAGGGATGTGACACTGGAAATGCCAGGAGCTTTTCTGCTTCCAAATGCCTCCCTCCTCCAGGAACCGTATTAGAGAGTAGGGTTTATTATAAATTCTGGCTCCTGCCCACCAGGATCTCAGAGCCACATGTGTCTAGCCAGAGGTAGGCAAGACGCAAGATCCACATCTGCTCAGCTCTCTTCCTGCTGAGATCTGAAGCTGCTACTGGCATTTACATATTCTGAACTATGCCCAGTGTTGTGAAGTAGAAGAAGAAAATTCTATTAGAACGGTGTACTGCATCTCCACCCATCTCCATGCAGGAACGCTTGTGACCTTTCAGACTTGAAGAAAGGTACCAAGTGATACTTTGATTAAAAGGAGCCTCAAGAGTCCCATAGAGCTGATATCTAGTTCTTTCTCCACTAATTCATTTATGGGCATGTTAAAATTTCCCCCACTGTGGCAGATTTGGGTCAACAATACGTCCCCAGCACCTAGCACAATTGCTGATAGTAAGCCCTTGGTAAATATTTGTTGAATGAATGAATTTAACAGATAGGAAAACTAAGTGCTGCTCTGAATAAGTAAGGGTTTAATGAGACCATTGGCTTGATAGGAAGCAGAGCTTTATACGTCCTTACATTTTATATGAATCCTGCAATTTCTCATGTTTTACCAAGTGATAGATAAAACTAATTTTGAAATCCAACATTTTATTTTGGATTCTTCCTTTGCAGGTCTATACCAAAACCCCTTGTGCCAATATAACCTGTATCGTTTATATACAATCTACCAACTTCCAGGAGTGGAGCTGCTTGACCGAAAACGTAGGAACACCTCTTTCTTGCAGAGAGATATTTGAGAAACAGTCCTATAGCTTGGTGGTTTAAAAGCAAAGAGTGCCTTTAAAAATTTGTCCTTGTGAAAGAATACCTTTGAATAATTGTCTTTGTAGATGAAAGTTTTCTTATTATTTATTTTTGCAAATTTTGCTGTCTCTTTGCTAATTTATAGGAAAGGCCATCTAATTGAGTGTGAGGAGAACTCTCCTTCTTATCTTAGTTTTGACATTGACATGTTGGGTGCCAAGTCACCCCCTGGCATCTTAGTTTCTTATCTCAAAAATGGGGGAATTGGACTAAATCTCTTAAGGCTTATTTAAGTTCTAAAAGTCATATTCTTTGAAATTCTGTAAATATATGATAACTTTTTTATGAATACATCTTCAGGCATTGTAGATAAACTAGCGTGTCTGACTTACACACACACACACACTCAACCTCAGAACACTACATTTTACCTTTTTGAGACCCGTTTTACCCCCAAGTGCTGTATTATCTATCTCTGTACTCACCTTTCTGTCTCTACAGGTTTGAACGCTTTTAATAATTTATTACTGAGTAAATTCTTTCTATGAGGATATACCAAAACCTCACAGTTCTACCTCTTCTTTCCGATATCCTTGAGGAAATGAAAGATGCATCATGCTGCAATTTCAACCATGCCTGGGGATGTGTTAGACAGTGTCTGGGATGCATTAGACTGCAGGATTGTGCTCTGTCATGTGACAAGAGGGGAGAACACTGAGCACGTATGAGTATGGAAATAACTGCAATAGCCCTTTACAGTTTAATTTTGACAGGATGTTCACATATAACATAGTACAGATAAATAAAATTTGAAAATGCTCAATTCTATTTTAAATCACTCTGCATATCAATTTATAATACTATGCAATAACATTACTTTTTGCATTTACCAGAAGTTACAGAAAAAGAAAGGAGATCAATGATTACCATTTTTAACCACAAAAAGGCTCATATCATTCAATCCATAGCATTCAGAGGAAAAGCAGACACCTCATGGAATCCTAAATCACCATTTAAGCAAAAATCAGCTCAGAGATTACCTTCAGGTATTTTGAAAAATAAGATAAAACTAAAACTCCTCAAACTTTTGGGTAATTTGATTATAACTGCAATTTATAATCAACTATATAGTGAAACAATTTCTAATTATTTTCTAATATTTTATTTTCTGATTTTATAATTTTGTTGGTCTAGTTAAAGTGAATATACAATTTTCATCTTCATTCATATGTATTAAATCAAATGAGATAATGTGATAATAATTAAATAATACATTGAAGTCCCAACCCCAGTATCCAGCACAGTATGAATGGCTCAGTAAATAAGCTATAGTTATTATTATTACCAGTAACACAGGACAATTTTACTAATTAAGGCTATAGGTTTTTGATAATATAGAAAAATATTATGAAGAAATAAAGATCATCTGCAATTCTGTCACCCAGAAATAAGCACTGTTAATATATGATTAGGGCTGGCCAGTTAGCTCAATTGGTTACAGCATGGTGCTGATAACAAGGTCCAGGAGGGTTCGATCCCTGTACAAGCCAGCTACCAAAAACCAAAACAAAGCAAATACAATATTTTGATTATACTCATATACATAGTCATTATATGCAGCTATAACTTGAATATTTTCAGTGATGTTTCATTTGTTGAAATTTAATTTCTTATATGTGCCAGAAATCCAAACAAATGGGGGGTTATTTTCTTCACACAGCATAGAGTACAAAGATAGGGTATCTAGGGTTAGTGTAAAGTTCCGTGATATCATCAGCGTTTAAGAATACATCTGTCTTTCGTTCTGCTGTTCTTAAAGTGAGCCTCGTGGTTACAAGACGGCTGCTGTGCCATCAGGCATTACATCTCCACTCCGGGATGGAATAAAGGGGTGGGGATGAAAGCAGGTGCAAAGACAAAATTCTTACCTCTAGATTCTTTGCTGAAGGGACAACATACATTTTAAAAGAACCAAATGAACTTTTGAGAAATGAAGGAAAAAATATTAAATTGGAAAATAATTTTGAAGCAATTGTCCAGGATGTAACATAGAAAAGAGATGGAAGATATTAATTAGACATGGAGACAAAGAGACATTAGAAAGAGAAGATCCAATATAAGTTTAGTAATAATTCCTGAAGGGAAAAATTATAGAGAGAAATTGAGATGAAGGTAATGTTCAAAGTGATAATGTCTGGGAATTTTCCAAAATTTATAAATGATATAAATCTTCAGATTTGCCAGACAAAATGAATTTAAAATGTAAAAGACACACAATCAAAAACCAAAAACAGAAACAACAACAAAAAAAACTCCACACCAAAGGCAAAACTATCCTAAAGCAGTCATACAGAAAATTCAGATTACCTACAAAAGTGTAACATTTACATTCACAACACACTCCCCAACTGCAATTATGGAAGTTAGAAGACAGTGTTCTAATGCTTTTAAAATGCTGAGGGAAAGTAATGGCCAACCAAGAATTCTATAACCAATGAAATAATTATTCAAGAATGAGCAGGGGCAGAGTTTAGGAGAAAAAAAAAAAGAAAAAAGAATGATGGCAAAATGACTTTTACCTCAACTTTTTGTTGTGAAAATTTTTTAACAGAAAAAATTAAAAGAACGTTAAACACCCTCATACACCCATGTATATTCCACAATTATTAATATTCTGCCATATTGACCAACCTATGTATATGAGGCCTTGGCTCTTGATCAGGAAGGACAGGACTCCTCAGAAGCTGCTAGTTACACTTCATTGCTCATCCCCAACCACAATGTAAACTGGAAAACGTCGATAAATTGGTGAAACATTTAAACATTTCAGTAGCAGACATCAGGACACTTCAGCCCTAAATAATTTAGCCAGCAAGTTTAAAAATAAGGATATTCACCTGTATAACCACAATGTCACTATCACACCTAATAAAGGTAACTGATTTATTTACATCATTTAATGTATAATCCATGTTTACATGTGGACCAGAGGCTCTGAGAATGTAGTCCCCAAGACAGCAGCAGCAGCAGCATCACTTAGGAACTTGTTACAGATGCAAATTCTTGCCCAAAACCAGGTTGACTAAATTAGAAACTCAAGGGTGAGACCCAGGAAGCTGTGTTTTAATAAGGCTTTCAGGCAATTCTGACACTCAAGGTAGAGAAAACCTGTGTAGAGTTAAGTACAAGCTTCGGGGCATGTTCCCCTGGATTTGAACACCAGCACTGCTAATAATTAGAAGTTTTAGTTTGGACATTAATTTGCTTTAGTTTTCTGATTTTTAAACAGGATCAAATCTTCCTTTGACTGTTGTGAAATATTGTACGTAAAACATTGACGTACTTGATCTGACATATACCAAGCGTATAATAAGTTAAACTGTTTGCTTAGTCAGCCACTTCTGGTTTTTCTTTTATTTCATGTGAGAGTTGATGGCCCAAAGTTAATGTTATCGCATTAGTGGGAGTAAGCCATACTGTAGTAGAAAAGGAATCTCTGGATAGAAAACCTCCCCTCTTAAAAAGAGCTAATGCACACAACTAATATTAACTAATAGCTAATATTAACTAACAGCTAATCCAAGCTATGCAGGGCTGTCCCGCAGTCTGTTTTCAGTGCTGTAATTGTTGTAGGTGTGAGAGAGAGCTGCTCACCACATTTAGTGCTTCACATTTATTTAATCAGATTGCTGAAATAACCATTGTACTTTTTATTCCCTTTACTGCTTTTCATATCAAACCTCCAAAAACAAAATCAAAGATGAAAGGGTAGAGAGAGTATTTTACCGCAATTAACATTTTTTCTACTAAATTTATATTCTTAATTCTTAGATATGTGGACCATAGCCCTCTAAAAATTGGCAGCATGACTCTTACCAACCTATTCATTTTTTGTAAAATGCCATTATATCAAAACAACTGAAAAGTATTTTTAGTCTATAGCATGGCTTATATTAGCTTAACCTTAATTAGCCAAACGTTTGTAACGAAACTAACAAAACCCACTAGGTAAGTTTTTAAAACTTACACCTTATAGTTTTGTAGCTTTTATATTTGTTTTGATATAAATCTGACATGCACATTTAGGACTCTGAATTCTTTTTTTGGAAAGAAACCACACTTGAAAATGTCAGTGAGGCAATCGTAGCACCACATTTTGATTTTATTATCCTTAATCTTAAATTGAGAAAGAAGCCAATTATATTTCAAATAGCTTGAGATGTAAGGTCAATTTTATGCTTCCTCCAAATCCCAGTTATCAATCCTTATCAAACAGGTGTGGTTAAAAACTTGTACCTATTTCTACTAATATCTTTGGGTCTTATTGCATAATAATCACTATTCTCAGACCCAAAACACTCTGGGCTTTTACATGGCTTTAAGGAAACTAGGACACTGGGACATTTCCCACCAACTAGCTAAATATAGAAAGACTTTAGGAGTATTTAAAATAAAGTAACAAGCTTTTAAAATGTCTACTAGTGAATCTAAAATGAAACTGCTGGATTTCCATCGTATTTGCTCTTCTATACCAAATAAGACAGAGGTCCAGGTGCTGGGTCCAGGTTGGGGTGCAGTATCACAGAGCCTGGGCCTGGCAGCCAAGAGTTCTCTCCTCCCAAACTAGTCAGGAAGAGACAAGGGTAAAGCCAAAAAGGAACAACAGGCAAACTATTCAACAAATGGCAATACATCACAGAGTGGGTCAGTTCAGACACAAGGCAAGACAGAATCCTGAGAGAACACATGATTAAAAGTTACGGGCTCGGGGAGCAAAGCCTCAGGAAGTTGAATGTTGAAGAAATTTCTGTCTCTGGGTAGCTATGACACCAGGCACACCCGAAAAGTGAATGCCAATTGCTGCTTATGCATGAAAGCTCAGATAAGTACCAGAAGTCAATGTAGGGTCTGGAGATTGGCTGGCATAGGGATGAGCAATTGAGGGAGTTGTGAGAGTCAAAAGAACAGGTGAAGGCAAATAGCTGCTGTCAACAGAGCTACCATGTTGCACAACTTCAGTGGGTACCGTTTACATAGAAAACAATGATTGGGCCCTAAACTTGTGACATACAGCAACCCTAGGCCAAAGAGATAGGCTAGGACTACTTTCTAAGGGAGACACCATATGCAAAAATAGATTCAAGAGATACTAAATATCTACATGTAAATAAAACTGAAAAGTGCCTGAAAAATACTTTCATAATCCCAAAGTGTAGAAGGCCAATCAAAGCCTCCCACAAAACTCAAAAGCCAAAAAGAGAAATGTTGACAGATTTAACAACATAAAAACAGAAAACATTATATGGTATAGAAACAAAATTAACATACGAGATTTTAATTTAAAACAAGTATTTGCAACACATGTACAAACAAAAGTTAATACCCATAATTTGTAAACGACTCCTACAAGTCAATTTTGAAAAATTTCAATAGAAAAAGTGACAAAAGACATGGACAAGACATTTATAGAGAGAAATGTAAATAATGATCAGCTTCACTAATAACCAAATTAATGCAACTCAAAACATGAGATACCATTCTCATTCGACAGGTAGGCAAAAGTTATAAAAGGTTGTTAAAGATAAGGGGAGAAAGAGCACAATTCATGTTATTGATGGGAATGTAAACTGGTTCAACTTTCTTGAAAGACCATACGGCAACATCTATCAGCATATAAAATGTACAAACCAATTGACACAGCAGTTCAATTTGAAGTTTCCCTCCTACAGAAGTGCTTGCACACATGGCCAAAGAAAAAACATATATATATATAAGGCTGCTCATTGCCTCATTTTTTATAATAGCAAAAGTAGTGGAAACATTCTGAATGGTCTTTCATAGGGGAGTGTTAAATAAACTATGGCACATTCAGATAATACAAACTATTGCATTATAGAATTATTCCATGATATATCTGGGATATTAAAAAACACATTGCAGAGTAATATTATGCAGGGTAATAACAAAATTAGAATTTTGTCAACAAATCTCTATGTATATGTATGTGTGTGAGTACACATGTGTATTGTGTAGGCTGGAAGCATGTACACAAAACTCTTAATAGTGATGCCACTGATAAAAGGAATTGAACAGGTAAAAGAGTTACCACTTTTCATTCATTTTTTCATTATTGTTTATATTCATTATAAATGGAATGTATGCTTTTTGTAATTAAAAATGCAGAAGTAAAACAGGAAAATTTTGCCATTTTCCATAATACAAATTCACCTGGAGGACATTATGCTGGGTGAAATAAGCAAGACACAGAAGGACAAATACTGCATCATCTCACTTAAATATAAAATCTAATATAGTCAAACTCGTAGAAGCAGAGAGTAGAATGGTGGTTGCCAGGGGCTGGGAGGAGGGGGAAATGGGGCGATGTTGATCAAAGGATATGAAGTTTCAGTTATGCAGGATGAATAAATTCTGGAGATCTAATGTAATGTGATTATAGTTAACAATATTGTATACTTGAAATCTGCGTAGAAGGTAGATCTTAAGTGTTCTCACCACACACACACACACACACACACACACGAAAAGAAAATGGTAACTACGTGAGGGATGAATATATTAATTAGCTTGATTGTGGTGATTATTTCACAATGTGTACATGTATCAAAACATCAAATTATACACTTTAAATATATACAATTTTTATTTGTCAGTTATACCCCAATATGGCTGGAAAAAATGTAGAAAAAGAAAGATCCTAGGGAGATCAGAAAGGCATGGGAGACTTGCGTCAGCCTCTTGTGAAAGAAACAAGACCACACATTTTCCCGAGGCAGAGGCCCTATGTTCTCTGCTGCTTGTGGATTGGCAAGAGCTCCTATTTTGGGCTTTAGTGGCCCAACAGGTGCTGGTAAATCCATCTCTAGCCTGGCACTAGGCCTTCTGGAGAGGAATAAACAGCAATGACAATCTCTGGAAGATGCCATAAGAAATCCAAGCTTTGAGGACTAATCTTTGAGCTCTAAAGCTAGGGAAGATATAGACTCTTGTGATCTAGGATTTGTTTATTCTGTTTCTTTGAAGTTAATGCCAAGAATCCAATGGTTGAAAATGGCCCTAAATATTTCTCCTCATTTGGACTATTCATCCATTAACAATGCATGTGCCTATTAGAGGAAAAAGGGTCATTATCTGCATATGAGCTTCAATATCTTAATTATAAAAATTCCCAATTGGATTCCATTGATAACTAAATTGATTAAGTATTCCGATCTCAGGTTTTTAGATATGTACTGCCCCCAAAGAATTTGCCCCCAAACCCAAGGCAGAACCACCATATCTCTACAAGAAAATTTCAGTTTTTGTTTACATAACAAGACATTTTTGGTAGATTGAGACATATATGCAAACAATGGCTTGAAAAAAACAACCTGTGCTCTAGACCTTTCCTTTATAGCATCATTCTGTTGTTTTGGATGCTGGATAAACATTTGAAAAATACTAATTTTAAAATGTATTTTATTTTTAGATTTTGCATTTGCGAATAATGTAGACAAGTAAGTGAATTTTAAATCTTTACGTTTATTATCAGATTATTTCATAATTGTGTTGTCCCCCTAAATTATCCTCACTTTCTAAAATAGATTTTAATGAACCAAAAAATCACCAGCTCTTTAAATACATGGGAAAAATTACATCTTTCTGTGATAAGTCAGTTCAGGCCGTGCATTTATATTTGGCATATTTAGGTTTTTAGTAATATTATTAATATAACCTAAAATAAATTAAAAGGTCATTTTATGCATAAAAAAATAAAACTTAAGAATTATTAGTTATTTCAAATGAGGAATTTTACCTCCTTTTTTACTTTTCCTCTAAATATGTTCAGTGAAAGCAATTATGTAGATTAACATTTTTGCTGGAATTTACATTTTGAAAGGCAAATACTTCATTAATACTATGAAAGACATTTCAAATTCATGAATATTGATGAATTTCAAATCATCACTCTTTTTATTTTTGCATTTAAGAATTTTTCTTTCAATTCAATGTTGAAAAATATTATCCCCATACACATTTGTAAAATATAGCATAATGTAGAGAAATAACTTTGTAATAAAATATACTTGAGATAATAACATGCAAATACTTTAAATATTTTAATCATCTCTTTAACATGGTTTTAAAACATAATTGCATGAGTATGAGACCTAAACTATAATAGCCAATCCCCAAATATATTCAGATACTGTATTTAAAAAATAAATAATAAAATACAATAAAAATAGTATCACTTAGCTGAAAGTCATTTGTTGGTAGAGACCACAAATTATTTGTTAGTGTTACTATATTACAAATAACACAGAAAAATATGGCATTTATTCATTTAAATATAGAATTCATTTTGGTTTAATTGGATTTTTTTTTTTTTT